GCATACATGCATGCATACATACATGCATACATGCATGCATACATACATACATGTATGTGTGTATGTATATATGTATGTATGTATGTATGTATGTATGTATGTATGTATGTATATGTATACGTTGCAATTGTGCTGATAAATAACAACAACACAAATGTAACAAGGCAACATAAAAAAAATGGCTTTCTGCCTGGATGGCTCCCAGAGTGAACCGATAGACAGAAAAGGGAAGCAGTATGCTCCCTCCCATATTTGGGCATACCAGGGGTTGTGATAAAAAAAATGAGAAGCAAAACATCTTCAAAGAAAAAAAATAACCAGAAAGTCCAGTGGCCTCTTGGGAAAAAAGGCACCTTTGGGACTTCCAGGTGTGATCTTGATACAAAATAAGGATGAGAAGACAAAGGGGATTTTCTGTCAATCTCGCCTTTAAACCTCCAGTGGTGTGGACAAAGTAACAGAATAACAGAGTCAGAAGGGACCTTGAAGGTCTTCTAGTCCAACCTCCTGCTCAAGCAGGAAACCCTAGACCGTTCCAGACAATCCTTGTTCCCTTGAGGGATGTGAAGTTGATTCAACCAAACCTTGAACAAGTTGTGGACATTAAAATACCTCCAGGTTGCTATCAAAAATGTCCCATTTTAGTGGGAAGATCTGAAATCCTGATCTAGATTTCAACGTCAAGGTGCAGAGATGTGGTACTTTCTGGTTCCTTTGGAGACCATCTATTTTTTTCTCTTCTGCAATGCAAGCGATAGCCACAGTATAGCTGAAAGAAAATGAGCATAATCCTTCTATCTTCCTGCATTTTTGCTGGAAAAGGGACACTTTCCCCTTTTCCCCAATGTCTAAATCCAAGAGAAGGAAAAAACCAAGTGTGTTCAGTTGCTCCAAACATTCAGAGCTTCCAACATTTGGAGAGAAGACAAGTCCTTTAAAAAAAACGGAAGGGGGTTTAAATACAGGTAGTTCTCGACTTACAACCATTGGTTTAGCAATTGTTCCAAGTTACAACAGCCCTGAAAAAAGTGGTTTACGACCAGTCCTTGCAGCGTCCCCCCCAAGGTCATGTGAGCTTTTCACAAGCAGCATGTATTTACAATGGTTGCAGGCTCGTGTGAATGCCAGTTAGGGTTGAGCAACCTGCGGCTCGGGAGCTGCATGTGGCTCTTTCAGCCCTCTGCTGTGGCTCCCTGTCGCTGGTCCACAATTGATAGGGCTTTTGGTTAGGACAGGTAGAGGAAATAGGACACCCTGCTAGGAGGAGACTCTATGGTGGGGGAACCGGACTTCCAGTCAGCAGAGGAAAAAGGACGCCATGCTAGGAGGAGACTCTATGGTGGGGGAACCGGACTTCCGGTCGGCTCCAGAATTGAACGGGGGGGCTTCTGGTTAGGACCTTTGTGGCTCTTTGAGTATTTAAGGTTGCTGACCCCTGGCCTTGCCAAAGGCCGTCCGACAAGCAAAATCAAGGAGGGAAGCCGGATTTGTGATTCACTTAACAACTCCAGGGATTTGCTTCAGCTTGGCAGAAAGGTCATAAATCAGGTGCGACTCACTTAACAACTCCCCCGCTTAGCAGCGGGAATTCTGACCCCACTTGTGGTGATAGGTTGAGTCTCACCAGTAAACAGGTTATCTTTTTTTTAATAGAAGGAATAATTGGGGATTTCGATCTCCATGGCATTTCCATCTCTTTTCCCATACGAGCTGGTCCAGATAGTCCTTGACTTACAACATTTCATTTAGTGATCATTCAAAGTTACGACGACACTGAAAAAAGTGACGTCGGACCTTTTTCTCACACTTACTGAAAAAAAATGGTGACTTAGGTCCGTTTTTCACAGTTACAACCAGTGGTGGGATTCAGCCGGTCCGCACCTATTCGGGAGAACCGGTTGTTAACTTTCTAAGCAGTTCGGAGAACCGGTTGTTGGAAGAAATCTCCTTTTGTTTTTTCCCCACTTTACAGGGCTAATCCTGTAAGGAAGGCAGGAAGGAAACATTCTGGTGTTGTTTCTAGCCTCATCTTTGTTGCCCTGATTACAGAAACTGCCTCTCCTGTTAACCCTTATTACATTGTAACAGCTAAGGCGAAGCGCCCATCGACGGGAGTGACGTTGAATCCCACCACTGGTTTGCAACCTTTGCAGAATCCCCTTGATCACATGATCCAAATTCAGACCCTTGCCAACTGGTTCATATTTATGACGGTTGCAGTATCCTGTGATCCCCTTTTGTGACCTTTTCACAACCCAAGTGCATGGGGAGGCCAGGTTCATTGGTTACCAACTTATCCACGGTGGCGATTCTCTTAACAACCTGTGGCAAGGAAGATGGGTGCAAAACTCATTTCACCCATGTCTCACTTAACGATAGAAATGTTGGGCTCAAGTGGGGTTGTACGTTGAGGACTGCCTGTCCATGTCTAAGGGAGTTGATCAGCTGCTGCTCCTCCATAAGAGAAGAAAATCAAAAGCTGGGAAAGTAATTCGTAAGAAGCCGGACGAGATACATCACTGCACCTTTCCACCATTATTAAGGAATTATCACTGAATTGTGAAATGACACCGTGAGGCCCACGTGAGGCCTACCGAAACCCTTTGAAAAGCTGAGGGTCAGGTTTCCGAAAGATGCCCTAATTAATTTATGAGCCTCGAGCCAAGTTTCAAAAGAAATCCAGTCATTTATTAGGAGCAACATTTTGGCAATTACCCAAGCGGAGTCAGATCTGACCTCACCTGTTACAGGCTGAATTTTGCCCGTTTCCCTCCTCCCCTCAGTCTGTGTCATAAATCACATTATCCAATGAAGTGCTCTGGCAAGCTGCAGAATGCCATGCCTCACAAGGCCTGCTGTGGTAATCTTGAGATTCAACCCTGGCCAAAAGTCTGTGAATGTACTCTCCCCACCTTCCGCCCGTGGCAACTCGATCACAGACATGGAAGCGCTTTGCGAGTTGACACTGAGACCTGAAAGTCGTTTTTATTATTTCACTGATGTGCGAGTCCTACCCTAGGCCATTTTTTTATTAAAAAAATGAGACGCTTGAACGTGTCCTATGATGTGAGCAATAACACACATAATCCTCCAAAGCCTGAACTAAGTTGTGAGCTCCTTGCGAGACCCATAGGAGATGGGAGTTTGGCTGCCTCTTCCCAAGGGAGTCGGGAGCCTCAGATACCGATCCATGATAGATAAACCAGGGTTTCTCAACCTCGGCGATGTTAAGATGGGTGAAAATCAACTCCCAGAATTCTCCAGCCAGCATGAGAGTTGAAGGCCACCCATCATAACGTCGCTGAGGTTGAGAAACATTGGGTAAACCAAGCAAGTAGGCAGCTAGCTTTATCCAAGCTGTGATTTCATCACTTTGTATTAATCCATATCTATCCGTTTCCTTTCCTTCTTTTGCCTTTTCTATCCTTTCCC